GGAAATGCGAACGTAATTTTTTTAAAATGGCTACATGCGAACAAGTGCGAACAAAAGGGGGGGAGGGGGTCTAGATTTCTTAAAAAGTGCGAACGTAATTTGCGAATCATCCCTTATCACATAATTTACTATAAATAATACTTTATTTAATGTAAATATTCTACTTAAACTTAAAACATGATTAATATGAAAATTTTATTTTTCCTAAACTTAATTCTGAACAATTTGGTATAACCTATTAATTTTAAATACCTCTCAAAATAAGATATAGTTAGGGCACTAATTATGAATTGATGTTTTCTGTTATTGCAATGTTTTAAAAAATTAATTTTGTTGACAATTAGTTAAATAATTTAACAACATTTATAAGACTATAATAATATGTTATACTTTACAATCAGAATCAGTGAAACGCCTATTACTATGGCAACTATACGTAATACATGTATGTTTAATTACGTAATATTTCCCATGACATCATACAGTAGTTGTCATAGTATCCAGAATATGGTGTTTATCTTATGATAAGTCTATGGCACAGACTTTATATGTTGTGCTAAAAGTCAATATTCGATTTGCAATCCGATAAACATATAAACATAATAAACACTTTCTAATGTCAGACATTATTATATAATAAAATCATTAAAATTTATTATATATTAAATTAAGTTCTTTAAAAATATATTTAAAATAATTTAATAACAAAAAAAATGTTTAGTTAACTTCAGAGTATAATGTTGGCAAATATTAAAAGGTATTTTGACTATAAATTATAAATAATAATGATTTACTTTATTAAAACATATTTCTATTAAATTCATAACTAATTAAAGGTATCTCAAGATTAAAAAGAGTGCTAAAAATGATGCCAAAAGTGTTAACAGTGTTGACAAAGTTTTTGGTTTAGAAGAGTTGGTGATAAAGATCTTCTCATTCCTCGACATCCATGAGTTGATACCTCTGGAGAGAGTCTCCAAACAGTTCCAGTTGTGCGCCGACTATTGGTTCCGACAGCAAAAGACACTATCATTTAATGACAATTACTGTGGAATCTATCACTTTATGCCAGACATTGATGTCATTCGCAATTCATATACATTTCCGTTGAGATATATTAACAACAATTCTGACGGAAAGCCATGTCTTATACTAAACAAAGAGCGGATCATTTGGTTGTCAAAGAAGTTACCAAACATTGAGTACTTAGGAATCGGTCACTTAGAGACTGATTACCAGACATTATATGATATTCTCGAAGCGTTTCAATCAATCAAATGGTTAGAGATCTGCGATATTAAGAAATTTACGGCTCAAGAGTTCCGACAATTGGGACAACTCTTGTCCGGAAGAGTCGCTAAATTAAATGTAAACATTTGTAGCACTGATTCAGAAAATGTCATACATTTTATGATACAAGAAATGAATTGTTTAACAAAATTAATGATAAATTCTACTGAAGTCCACCAAAATATGTTAAATCTATTTAAATGTTTGCCTAAAAGTATGAAGTCTTTGAGGATTGGCTCTGAATATATGGTTACAATTGACACTCAATTGGCGACAAATCTATTGGAAAGTAATGCAAAACAATTGCAGTATTTATATCTGGAAAGCGTTGAGCTTAACGAAAGGGCACTGGAAGTGGTCATCGATGGTATGGCACTGAAAGGCTTTATATATTGTTTGCCAAACACTGCCAATCAATGGCTCTGCGAAAAGTGGCTCAAAAACAATCAAACCTTGAATTTCTGGGTCTCTATGATCAGGACTTTTGCGATTGTGATTACAATACAAAATCAATGCAATTCTCAAAAGTGAAAACACTTTACCTGAGATACTGTGAACTCGAAGAACAGGCGTTTGTGTCGCTATTGAAATGCTTTCCAGTAATGAAAACACTTGTCTTATGCAAAGTTTCCATCGTTTGTAATGTCAATGAAGACAACGACGAAGAATATTCTGTGACATGTTTTCGCCAAATGTATGGTTTGATAGCAAAACACACAGCGATTGAGACTTTGAGTCTCTATTATGTTGAAAATACAGCCGTTTTGTGTCAGCAATTAAATGAGTTTTACAACTTATCGGCCATTCATTTGAACCAATATATCGATGATAATCAAGAAGAATATGGAAATTCTTGCTTACAATTAATCACTGATTTCATTGATTTAAACACAAGAGACTCAAAGAAAATGATTACAATTAGTGTTCACAACAATATCGGAGATTTTTGTATTGACCGACAAATGCCCAGAAATCTAAGAATTTGTAAAACTTTGTATTGAGAATAATATATTATATTGATATATAAATTTTTGATGAAAAGTTAATTTATTTTAAATACCAACAGATATTGTCAGAGAATTAATTATGCATTTATTGTTTCTTGTTATTGCAACTCATTTTTAATACACAAAATGCTTGAAAATTTTGATTTTGCTAACAATTTATTAAATAATTTAACAACATTTCGAAAAGTTTCATAATACATGTATATTGTATTTTATAATCAGAATCGGCAAAACATTTATTACTGTGGCAACTATTAATATACATTAGTAATGCAACATTACATGTACAATTACGTAATAATATTATATCCTATGACATCATAAAGTAGTTGTCATAGTATCTAGAATGTTGTTCATCCTATGATACGTCTAGAACATTATATGACATTATATGAATATTCTAGACTTTATATGTGGTACTAAAATTGATTATCCGGTTTGCAATCTGATAAACATGTAAACATAATAAACACTTTCTAATGTCAGGCATTGTTGTTCTGGTTTATAATTATTAAAATCTATTGTATATTAAATTGAATTATTTACAAATATATTTTACATAATTTAATGACAAAAATAAGTGTTTAGTTAATTTTAAAGTATAATGTTGGCAAATATTAAAAGGTATTTTGACAATTAATTATAAATAATAATGATTTACTTTATTAAAACATATTTCTATTAAATTCCTAATTAATTAAAGGTATTTCACGAGTAAAAAGAGTGTTAATAATGAAGCTAAAAGTGTTGACAAAGTGTTTGGTTTAGAAGAGTTGGTGATAAAGATATTCTCATATCTGACTATCGATGAGTTGATTGGTTTGGAAAGAGTCTCAAAACAGTTCCAGTTTTGCGCCGACTATTGGTTAAGACAACAGAAAAGCATTGCATTCAACGAAAAGTTCTGTGGAATGGATTACAATAAGCCTAACATTGATGTCATTCATAACTCCTATACATTTCCCGCACAATATTTTAAGACCAATTCTGATGGAAAGCAAAGTCTTATAAAAAATAAAAAGCGAATAATCTTGTTGTCAAAAAAGTTACCAAACATTGAGTACTTAGGAATCGGTCACTTCGACACCGATTACAAGACATTATGCAAAGTTCTCAATGCGTTTCAATCAATCAAATGGTTAGAAATGTGTGATTTGTGTGACTTCAAGGATCAAGAGTTGCGACTATTGGGACAACTCTTGTCGGGAAGAGTAACCAAATTGTTGGTAAATATTTGTAACATTCATTCAGAAAATATAATTAAAATAATATCAGAGATAAAAGGATTGGAAAAATTATCAGTTTGTTTTGTTGGACGCGAAACTATCGTTGAATTATTCAAATGTTTGCCTAAAAGTATGCAATCATTAGAATTGGGATCATATCATGAAATAACAATCGATACCCAATTGATAACATATCTATTGGAAAGTAATGCAAAACACATACAATATTTATATCTATCAACTAATTGGCTCACAGAAGAGGCACTGGAACTGATAATCAATGGTATGGCATTGAAAGCGTTTACATATTGTTTGTATAGTGAATCAAATGAATGGTAATGTCTGGAAAAAGTGGCACAAAAACAGACAAATCTTGAATATCTGGCTATCGGTGGACAAGATTTCCGCGATTACTCGCAAAATGAGATACAATTCCCAAAAGTGAAAACTCTTTCTCTCTTTTATTGCAATCCTACCGAAGAGGTATTCGTATCGCTATTGAGATGTTTTCCAACACTGGAAACACTTTCAATTGACGAAACATACATTGCATGTGATGTTAATTGTGAAAACGAGGTGTATTTGACATGTCTTCAGGAAACGTATTGTTTGATTGCAAAACACACGACAATCAAAGAGTTGGGTATTTATTGTAAGGATTTGAGTGAAAAGACAGTCGTTTTATGTAAACAACTCAATCAGTTTCACAATTTATCGGCCATTAATTTGAATTATTATTGCAATTATAGTCTTAAAGATTACACAACTTTTTGCCAACGATTTATCACTGATTTTATGGATTGGTATTCAATAGACCCCAAGAAATGGTTCACAATCTGTGTTCACAACAATACCGGAGATCTCAGTAATGGTAGACAAATGCCACCAAATTTAAAAATTAGAAAAATATTGTATTAAAAGCTTTGTTTAATACTAATACCTATTAATTAATTTAGTAATTAAGTAATTAATTTTTTTTTATAAAAGTTTAAATAGTATTATATTTGTAAAACATTTATAAAATATTTTGAATAACTCTTTAACCGTCTGATTATATGGTTAAATTGCCCAGGCCTATTATATCGTGGTGAAGAAAATAGACCAGTAATTTAATACATTTAATTTACATGAGTTAGAGGGCAGCATAAGCGAGAAAGCTATGCTATGACTAAAAGTTACATCTTTAGTATACATCACAAAAAATATCCCAACTTTTAACACAGTTTTGCGGCTCATTTTAAATCACACTAAAAAGGACACTATTATTAAATTGTTGTTTACATTGGCCGCGG